AACTATAAGATATTCAATTAAAAATAAATTGAATAAAAAAAATAGAAGTTATAATAGATATAATATATCACATTTATCGAAACAATTTACAAATTTTGTAATTATTTAAATAGATATGAGCAAAATTTTATCTTCAGTTAAATATGCCTGTTAGACTATATTACAACGACATAAATTAATTATTATAATTATTACAATAATATAGCATATATACAATAGCTAGTGATTGTCTCGAGAAAAGAAGAAAATATTTATTTCTATTTCTTTTTTATATCTGTTTAATATCCTAAAGATTTATCTAATAATAATTAAGAGAAACAGATAAAATTATTTTGCCTTAGTACTGTAGAGTTTGTGATATACATCATGTATATGTACCTTATATATGAATTATACAATAAATTGTATCAAAGTATTACATATTTTTATATTTTTAAATTAAATATTACATATATTTTGACGGCACACATATGCATTCATGTAATTTAAGTTGCGATAATAAACACTAATTGGAAACAACAAAAAAGTATCGATATATGTTCTAACGACTTCTGATTAAAACTTTGAAAACGTCTGATATACTGTTGTTTGTATATAAAGACATGACTTTGTAATAACATTTTTATATGTTTCGAAATAAAATCAGTCTAAATTGAGACAAGGAAGTATACAGTAATTATAACCACTACTGTCTGGAGGGCGATAACGAACGTTTCAAATTTATATAATCAGTAACTTTCTTTTTTGCTTATTTGACGTTTTAAAGATTAAATAATTAAGAAGACATATGTGCGGTTCTCGGAGAAAAATAGACATTAATTATTCTGCCAAATAAAAACAAGAATCAAATAAAATGTAAGTATATTAATTTAAGTACTTCGCAAACATATCCTTTGATTATACTTTGCATATTTTTATGTATAACAAATGAGATATTTCTTTCACATATGACTGACACGATACGCATTTCTTACACTTACAGATCGAGAAGAAACGATGAATATAATCTCCAAATTTTTCTCATTTTATGAGAATATATTTTTTTATATATTAATTCTAATAAATATATTTGTGAGAGCTACGTAAATTTAACTCTCTACCATTCAACGTTGCATTTGTTGTGTCCAGAAAAGATATTTTTATAAAGATAAATAAAAAGATGATTAAGTTCAAAATTTCCGCACCAGGCAGAATCATCTTATCAGGGGACCACACGGTGACGTTTGGAAATCATTTTGTTGTGGCCGGCTTAGATCTTCGCACCAATCTAGAATTCTGCGAACTATCAGATGAGCAAACTAACATTAGAATAGAGTTTCAGGATTATGAGAAGGATGTACCTTTACAAGAAGTTCAATGCTTATCTTCTCGACTTATTCGCGAAAACTTGTTTTCCGATCAAGTCAATTTGCTTAAAGAAGTGAATTCCTTTATCAACGTAAACAATATGTGGGAGAAAACCGAGCAGAAAATTAGCTTACTAATGCTCTTTTTCTTACTTTGTACTGTTACTTACAAAGAGCATCTTGTCATAAAACCTTTTCGATTACACGTGTCCACTGAAATTCCTTTTGAAAATGGTCTTGGCGGTTCGACATCATTCGTGGTTTGTCTGGCAGCGTGTTTTCTTCATTGGAAGCGTCTACAGAGTGGTGTTCATATTAGATTTAATGAACAAGACTTAGAGAAGATTGAAGAATACACTAGATCTTGTGAGGGCATTTTGCAAAAGGATGCATTAGCAACGATCGATGCCAAAGTTTGCGTATATGGCCGTATAAATAAATGCAAACATATTCATTCTAATGTTTATGATATGAAGTGTATAGATGTTGTTAAAACAGGAATAAAGATTCTATTGATCGGGACACATCTTTGCCTAACGGAAGCACAAAGATATAAGCAAATAGCAGATCTGATGTTGTCACGTAGCAATTTTAATTCTATTTTTAATGAATTGGACGAAATAGCAATAAATATATTTGATGACCTAAATTATATTAATAATAACATAGAAAATTCTGATGCTTACAATGACTTACAGGTATTTTTATATTTTTTTATTTAACAACGAAATTATTTTATTTTATGCTGTATTCCTTATTAGTTTTGCGGCGTGAAAAATTCTTTATTACGTTTCGCCAGAAACTGTAGGTACAATTTTATACCTAAAATTTTTCGTGTTTTACAGAGAGACATTAAGAAAAATCAACAAATGTTGTGCAAATATGATTTGTCGTATTTTGAATTTGATATTGTTTCCTTCCTTGGAAGTGGATTTAATTTGGCAGGAAAACTTACAGGTTTTAAAGGTAGTTATGTATACTTTCCGTTGCCACCAAAAATTACTAAGGAAGAAATCACACGTATTACAAATCTTTTCTCGTATAGAAAATGCAGTTACAAAATTGCTACAATAGGCTGTGACGGAGTGAGAATTGATATATAATTCTACTAAAATTATAACGATTATATATAAATAATTATTGCTAATTTGATAGAATACAAAAGATGACGCAAAATTATTAACTTAATACTTGTTAAATTAAAAAAAAAACGGCAGTCTCTTAATAATATCGCATTGAATTATAAAATCAAAAGTAAGAAAACTTTGAGTTGAATTTTCTTATAAAATATATCAAAAAATATTAATTTTTTTAATTCTACTTTATTTTGCTTTAAAAATTTAAACAATGTTGCGCCGAGATCATGCGCTGCAATGAATATACAGAAATTTTTCCTGATTTATAAATTAAATAATATAAACATTTCTTTATAATTTTAATTATGTGAAGTAAATTTTGAATAAAAGATAAGTCGAATAATTTTAAATTATATTTTTCGGCAACGCTTAAGAAAGGAAATAATTAAATAAAATTTATTTATTTAGAATTGTGTATTAAATATATGTATATACATATACATATGTGTATCTGTTAGCTGCATGTTTAATTTTTGTGTTACATATTATATGGAGGATGTCTTATATACATACATATTTATATACATATATATACATATATATATATATATATATATATATATACAGGGTGTCCCTAAAGTTCGTTACCATCCCTAATATTTCGGAAATTAATCAAAATTTCGAAAAATTGCAAAACACGTGTTCGATTATTTCGCCCCTCAAAGGAGTCCAAGGGGGGTGATCCACCATTGAAAATCGATTTTTCGAAATTTTGATTCATTTCCGAAATATTAGGGATGGTAACGGACTTTAGAGACACCCTGTATATGTCTATGTAATATATAGAACTGATTAAATAATATTCATTTAGTAATTTTTATTTGTTAAAAGATCGGGAGCAATAGTTCAAAATTTTCAATTTTTTATTATTCAATAATGCAATATAATTTGATGCACGAATTATAAAGTACATTATTGTTTATTTGTGATTTAATAACATATATTCTGCTTTAGGAAATATGGAATAATGTATAATTAAATAAATTATATATGCAATTATTTTGAAAAAAAAAAATATATATATATATATATATATATATTTTTCAAAATAATTGCATATATAATTTATTTATACATTATATATTTCCTAAAGCAAAATATGTTATTAATCACAAATAAACAATAATGTACTTTATAATTCGTGCATCAATTATATTGCATTATTGATAATAAAAATTGAAAATTTTGAACTATTGCTCCCGATCTTTTAACAAATAAAAATTACTAAATGATATTATTTAATCAGTTCTATATATTACATAGACATATACATGTCTCTAAAGTCCGTTACCGTTAGGTACGTTAGTATATATATATATATATATATATAAAGTAATATTTATCGAAATAATATACAAATTTTATGTTGTTATATAAATAGATATTAGCAAAATTTTCTCTTGCGTTAATTATGCCTATATGAATATAACTATATTACATCGACGTAAATTAATTACGACAATTTATTATAATTTTTACAATATTATAAGATTTATAAAATAGCTAGAGATTGTCTTAAGAAAGAAAAAAATATTTATTTCTATTTCTTATTTATATCTGTTTTACAAACTAATTATTATAAGATTTATTTTATATATAATAATTAGGAGATAAAAATAAAATTATTCTGCTTCAGTACTATTGCGTTTGTGATATACATCATATACATGACCGATATATATATATATATATATATAAAAATTATTTAATAAATTTTATCAAAGTATTATATATTTTCGTATCTTTAAATTAAATATATATATGTAATATTTAATTGCCATCAAAATGATGCATTTTGACATCAAAATGATGTCATAATAATTACTGTGGCTACCTGGGTATGTATTTATACATGTATTTTAAATTATGATAATAAATATTAACTGAAAACAACAAAAAAATATTGCTATTAACGAATTTTGATTAAAACATTAAACACGTCTGATATTGTTGTTTATATTTAAAGATATGACTTTGTAATAACATTTTTATATATTGCGAAATGAATTCAGTCTAACTTAAGACAAGAAAGTATACAGGAAATATAACCAGTATCTCCAGTGCGATAATGAACGTTTTAAATTTATATTATCAGTGGTTTTAATTTTGTGTTTTAGCGTTTTAAAAATTAAATACTTAAGAAGACATATGTACGGGTTCTTGGAGAAAAATAGAATTTAATTTACCTGCTAAATAAAATCAAATGCGCATGTAACAAGTATCAAATAGAATGTAAGTAAATTAATTTAAGTACTTTGCATACAAATCCATTTCATATATACTTTGCATATTTTTATGTATAACCGATGAGATATTTCTGCCGCATATGACTGACTCGTTATGTATTTCTTACGTTTATAGATCGAGAAGAAACGACAAATATAATCTCCAAATTTTTCTCATTTTATGAGAATATATTTTTTTATATATTAATTCCAATAAATATATTTGTGAGAGCTACGTAAATTTAACTCTCTACCATTCAACGTTGCATCAGTTTTGTCAAGAAGAAATATTTTCATAAAAATGAATAAAAAGATGATTAAGTTTAAAATTTCCGCACCAGGTGAAATCATCTTATCTGGGGAACACACGGTGATGTTTGGAAAACATTTTGTTGTGGCCGGCTTAGATCTTCGCACCAATCTAGAATTCTGCGAACTATCAGATGAGCAAACTAACATTAGAATAGAGTTTCAGGATTATGAGAAGGATGTACCTTTACAAGAAGTTCAATACTTATTTTTTCGACTTATTCGCGAAAACTTGTTTTCCGATCAAGTCAATTTGCTTAAAAAAGTGGATTCCTTTATCGACGTAAACAATATGTGGGAGAAACCCGAGGAGAAAATAAGCTTACAAATGTTCTTTTTCTTGCTTTTTATTATCATTTACGATATGGAGCACGAAGTAAAACCTTTTCGTTTACGCGTGTCCACTGAAATTCCTTTTGGAGATTGTTTTGGCAGTTCAACTTCGTTCGCGGTTTGTCTGGCAGCGTGTTTTCTTCGTTGGAAGCGTCTACAAAGTGGTGATTATATCAGATTTAATGAACAAGACTTACAGAAGATTGAACATTACACTAAATCCTGTGAGAACATAATGGTATATTCTACGTTTAAGCCGCTCGATGCCAAAGTTTGCATATATGGCAGTATAAATAAATGCATAAGTAATAATTATCAATCTTGTTCTATCGAGGGGACTATAAATTTAACAACAGGAATGAAGATTCTATTGATCGACACACATCGCTTACAATCAGACAAATACAGCATATATCTGCAAATGCTAGAGTTAAAATATTTCCGTCCTAGCTATTTCAATTCAATTTTAAATGATTTAGAGAAAATAGCAACAAGAATATTTAATGATCTTTATAATATTAATAATAATATAAAAGATCCTGATGCTTATAGCAACTTACAAGTATTTCTTCTATTTTTTCTTTTTATTTAACAATGATATTATTTTATTATATACAATATTCTTTAGTTTTACTGCGTTATGAAATATCTTTTATTACATAGTTTTTCGCCAGAAACTGTATGTACAATCTTATAACTAACGTTCTTCGTGTTTGCAGAGAGACATTAAGAGAAATCAACAAATGTTAAGCAGATATGACTTGTCGTATTTTGAATTTGATATTATTACCTGCCTTGGAGGTGGATTCAATTTGTCAGGAAAGCTTACAGGTTTTGGAGGCAGATATGTATACTTTTTGTTACCACCAAGAATAACACAGGAAGAAATCAAACGTATTACCAATTTTTTTTCGTATAGAAGATGCAGTTACAAAATTGCTACAATAGGCTGTGACGGAGTGAGAATTGATATATAATTCTACTAAAATTATAACGATTATATATATATAATTATTGCTAATTTGATAGAATACAAAAAGATGACGCAAAATTATTAACTTAATACTTGTTAAATTAAAAAAAACGGCAGTCTCTTAATAATATCGCATTGAATTATAAAATCAAAAGTAAGAAAACTTTGAGTTGAATTTTCTTATAAAATATATCAAAAAATATTAGTTTTTTTAATTCTTTATATTGCTTTAAAATTATAAACGATATTGCGTCGAGATTATGCGCTGCAATGAATATACAGAAATTTCTTTCTGACTTATAAAAATAAATTAATATATGCAATGTTTCATAATTTAAATTATATAAAGCAATTTTTGAATAGAAAATAAATCAAATAATTTTGAATTATATTTTTTCGGCAACTCTTAAGAAAGGAAATAAAATTTATTTAATCTGAATTATGTATTAAAAATAGATATATATACATATACATATATCTGTTATTTACATAATTTCGGTGTTACATATTATCTGGAGCATATTTCATAGATAAATGTCTATGTAAAATGTACATATAACTGAGTAAATAATATTTATTTAATAATTTCTTCTTTATTAAAATAGCAACTGGAAGCAATTTTCCAAATTTTTAATTTTTTATTATTTAATAATGCTATATATAATTTAAGGCATGAATTATGAAGTACATTGTTTATTTGTAATTTAGTAACATATATTCTGATTTTAGAAATATGAATTAATGCATAATTACATAAAATATACATGCAATTATTTTGAATATATATACATACATATATATATATATATACAATATATATATATATATATATATATATATATATATATAAACTAATATTTTTGATATATTTTAGAATTATCAAAAACAAATAAAAAGTGAGCTATATGAAAGGAATAATATATTTAAACTTTTAAATATTAGTCTTTTTTTATATTTAACTTTACTATTCAAAGAAACTTCGAAAAAAAACGAAAACCTTGATAGAAATTTGAGAGTATTTTTCAATTTAACATACGAATTATTATATTATTATTTGATAAATTGACAGAGCAAATTTCCTTTTGCTATAATAATGCCTTTAACCAAATAACTGTATTACTACGACATAAATTAATTACGAGAATTATTATAATTGGATTTGCACAATAGTTGGAGATTGTCTGAAAAAAAGGATTTTTTACTTATTTCTATTCTTTTTTATAATTTCAGTTTTATGTACTAATGACTTATCTGTTTATAATGTAACTAAGGAATAGAAATAAAATATTTCTGCTTCAGGATTCTCGAGCCAAAATTTATAATGCATTTAGATAATAATATTTAAGTCAAAATAAAAAAAGCTGTTATAATTGAGATCTGTAATTTAACAGAGATCGCGATATATACATCTTTTATTTTCAAAATATATAATTCTATTATAATAAATAATATAATTTGATATAGATTAAAAATATTAATTCATACCTATAAATATGAATTTTGTGATGACAAAAAAGTGCATTTTTATTTAAAATGTATATTGTATTTAAATATATTATAAAATTTAGACATGTAAATATGATATACGGTTTGTGTCAATGCAAATAAAATAATAACAATTTATCTGATTGTTAACAAAAATTAAAATTATTGTTATAATTTTGAAAATTTGTTTCTATGTCCTTCTATGTATTTGTATCCATATCTATTATTATTACATATACGTTTTCGAATGTTGAATAAGTTAAGTTGAAGTTAAGATAAAGTTTGATTAAAGTTTTGAGATTGATATTTAGCTTTAAGTTTTCGAAACATTATTATTGTTGAGAAATTAATCATAATTGAGACGCGAAATAGATTAATATGGGAAAACATAAAAACTTTTTTATAATGAATATTTTCGATTAATTATATATATTTATGTATATTTATTATTATACATTTATTTACATATTTACATATTTTTTTTCTTCTTATAATATAAGTTTCAATAATTAAATTACATATTACTTAGGTTTGTGTGTGGAGCTTTTAAAGAAGGGATACAATATACGTTTATTTCGATGACAACAGGAAAGAATTAGAATTAATTGAATATATGTATTTTTAGAAATATAAATTTAATAAAATGTACATAATCACACATAAATAACGTTCGCATCAACTTATGCAAAACGAAACGGATCGATAAATATTATCTCGATATTGGTATTTGTGTTATACATAAATATATACATTTTCTGAGTTCTTAATAAATATTTGTAAGAGCTACTGTACAATATACTATTTATTCAGAAATAAATATTTTTATCGGCTCTCAATATAAATAATATAAGTATGCTGTCTTCTAAGCTGGGCAATAGAGCCAAGGAAACGAAACGAAAAATTAATTAAACGGAACTGTATCTCAATTTGAGATCCCAAAGTTCCACATATAAATTAATTTCGAAACTTACATATGGAGAAATAAGCGAGAAAAATATAGGTCCGAAAAGTCGCTGAAGCGGGAATCGAACCCGCGTCTTTCACTTTCCGGGCGACTGCTCTTACCAACTAAGCTATTCAGACCCTTTCGATCCTATATTTTTCATTTGCCTTTTTAGTAGATGTTAGTAAATACCGCCGTGATTAGCCCAAGGCGTGAATAAACTCAGAAATAAATATTTTTATCGGCTCTCAATATAAATAATATAAGTATGCTGTCTTCTAAGCTGGGCAATAGAGCCAAGGAAACGAAACGAAAAATTAATTAAACGGAACTGTATCTCAATTTGAGATCCCAAAGTTCCACATATAAATTAATTTCGAAACTTACATATGGAGAAATAAGCGAGAAAAATATAGGTCCGAAAAGTCGCTGAAGCGGGAATCGAACCCGCGTCTTTCACTTTCCGTGCGACTGCTCTTACCAACTAAGCTATTCAGACCCTTTCGATCCTATATTTTTCATTTGCCTTTTTAGTAGATGTTAGTAAATACCGCCGTGATTAGCCCAAGGCGTGAATAAACTCAGAAATAAATATTTTTATCGGCTCTCAATATAAATAATATAAGTATGCTGTCTTCTAAGCTGGGCAATAGAGCCAAGGAAACGAAACGAAAAATTAATTAAACGGACAGCTTAGAAGACAGCATACTTATATTATTTATATTGAGAGCCGATAAAAATATTTATTTCTGAGTTTATTCACGCCTTGGGCTAATCACGGCGGTATTTACTAACATCTACTAAAAAGGCAAATGAAAAATATAGGATCGAAAGGGTCTGAATAGCTTAGTTGGTAAGAGCAGTCGCCCAGAAAGTGAAAGACGCGGGTTCGATTCCCGCTTCAGCGACTTTTCGGACCTATATTTTTCTCGCTTATTTCTCCATATGTAGGTTTCGAAATTAATTTATATGTGGAACTTTGGGATCTCAAATTGAGATACAGTTCCGTTTAATTAATTTTTCGTTTCGTTTCCTTGGCTCTATTGCCCAGCTTAGAAGACAGCATACTTATATTATACTATTTATTGTTCAATATTACGTCGATCTTTTACAGGGCACAAATTTTTATTCATAAAAGGGATGATAAAATTAAAAATTTTTACACCGGGCAGATTAATTTTTATTCATAATGATGTATGAAAAATATGTTGTGGCGACCAGCACAGATCTTCGTACCACGTTCAAATACTGTGAACTATCTGATGAGCCAAAGATATTATTAAAATAAAGTTTCCTCATGTCGATTTAATATTAAATAATTAATGTTAAATGTTAAATGTATACCTGTAAAATAGTTCTAGGTTTGAAAGTATGATGATAATTAAATAAGTTACATAGAATAATTTTCTGTTAATAAAAGGTAATATTTTGGTATATTTTTTACTATTTTTATAAAAAAGTGCTATATGAAAAGAATAATTTATTTTTATAAACTTTTGATAGGAATTTACATTTTTTTCATTTTTAACTTAGTTATACAATTTAAAATAAATTAAATAGTAAAACAGAAATTATAATAAAGGTAATAAAATATTTATCAAAATAATATACGAATTTTTATATTATAAATATAAATATAGCAGAAAAATTTTCTCTTGCGTTAGTTATGTTTATATGAATATGACTATATTAAGACTATATTAAAATGTAAATTAATTACGACAATTATTATAATTGTTACAATAATATTTGATTTATACAATAGCTAGAGATTGTCTCAAGAAGAAAGTATATTTATTTCTATTACTTTTTTATATGAGTTTTGTATACTAAATATTTATCTTATAATAATTAGGAGATAACGATAAAATTATTCTGATTTAGTACTCTTGAGTTTGTGATATACATCATGTACCTTATATATTAATTATTCAATAAATTATATTTATGTATTAGATATTTTTGTATCTTTAAATGGAATATTATACATATACCATATGTAAATATTTCAAAATTTTCAGTTTTTTTATTATTCCATAATACTATATAATTCCAAACACAAATAAGAAATACATTGTTTATTTGTAATCTATTATCACATATTCTACTTTTAGAAATATGAAATAATGTATAACAATTAAATAAATTATACACAATAAATTAAATAAATTATACAAGATATGCTGTCTTGCTATCTTTCTTTCCTTCCTCCTTAAAGATCTTTTTTAAACAACTTTTATACGAAACATTTTTTATAAAAGGCGTAGAAAAAAATATTTAGAGTGAAATTAAAATGATCCACTTTGTATAAATTAATAGTAACATAAAAAAAAATATGACAACTAAAAGTTTAGTATGACTCAATATTAAACAAATTTAAATTTTAACAAATTAGAAAGTTTCAACTAGGATGCTGGAACTTTTAAAATCAAAGTCTAATATTGGTGTTATCAGTGTTATGTGGACGACGAAAGAGATTTAATTTAATTTAAGATGTCACTTTAATGTATATACTAGAACACAACCAGCGCGCGCTACGCGCGCGCCATTTAATTTATATTTATGTATATATATATTTATATACATATATATATATATATATAATAAATTATATAATATATATAATAATTTAAATTATAAAATTTTAATTACGCCAAGTA